AATACAACCTTCGAGATAAAATGATGTCTATGACTTTTGATAATGCAACCTCTATGACATACACAGCTAATCTTATCAAACAAAACTTAACCGATGTACTATTAGACGGTGAAGCTCTTCATACTAGATGTGTTTGCCATGTACTTAACTTATGTGTACAGGATGGAGTTCGGGCAATTGGCCCATACTACAGCAAAATCAGAGATGCTATTATGTCTATTAATAGCTCTAACATGAGATACCAAGAATGGAAGAGTTTTCTAAAACAACAAAAGATAAGGGTAATAAAAATTAGAACCGATTGCCCAACTAGGTGGAATTCCACCTATGACATGTTAACAAAGGCAATTGAGTACAAGGGCCCGTTAACATTATTTTACAACCAAAAATTTCCACAAAATGCTTTGTATGATGATGATTGGAAAAACTGTGAAAGATATATGCAATTTTTACAGTTATTATATAACATGACGTATTGTTTTTCTACTGTTTACAATCCTTGTGCTCAAAAATTTCTTTCTAATGCATGCTTACTCGCCCAACTTTTCGCTGATCATCGCCATCAAAGTGATTATGATCAGTATCTTCCAGCAATGGAAAAAAAGTGGCGTAAATATTATAGTGAGATTCCTTTGATTTATATTTTTGCTTCCATATTAGATCCTAGGCAAAAGTATGAAAACACATTTATGTTAGTTGACATTTACTTTCAATGCATGTTTCTTGACGATGATGTAGAAAACTATAAGACTAATGTGAAGGATCAGTTTTTTGCTTTATATAGAGTCTATGAAGCCAAATATGGCACCGTTCCTCGCTCAGGGCCTTCCCAACCATCCAAAAACGTAAGTAAGAAGGCCAAACATTTATTTTCACAAGCTACTAACTTGATTTCAAGGTTTTCAGGTGATTCATCAATCAGGAGAACGCAAAGCGACGTCTCGGAGTTGCAGATGTACCTGAGTTACGACTTCACCAAAGGCATGGACGACGATGAGATAAACAGCCTCGACCTCCTTGCATGGTGGAAACAACAAAGCTCGAAGCATCCAACTTTGGCGGCAATGGCACGAGACATTCTTGCTATCCAAGTTTCCTCCGTCGCCTCCGAACGAGATTTCAGCGCATCCGGAAGGGTTTTAGACGATAGAAGAACAAGTCTAAAACCCGAAACACTAGAAATGTGCGTGTGTTTCAAAGATTGGTTGGATGCGGAAAATCGCTCACAAGACCGTTCTTACGACCACAACGACAACGAAGAAGGAACCTCCGCTTCCGGTTCGGGTTCGGCTAGTTCCCAATCTATGCAACTAGCCGATGACCTTGAAGGCGAAGGCGAAGGCGAAGGCGAAGACGAAGACGAAGACAAGCAAGAAGAAGGAGAAGAAGAATAGACAATTATTGTATATTGTACGATTTTAAAAATATCAATTTTATCATTTTCCAATTTTTGTTTAATACCATCATTGTATGATTTTTATCATTGTTATCATTGTACAATTTTCTCAACTCAAGTAATAATAATATAAAGTACGCATTATTCACATCCAAAGTCCAATTTGCCTTTTTTCCCCGTTTTGTTACAATTTGTAAATTCATATTAAAAAAAAAAATTTTTACCAATTACTAATAATATCATAAACATTAAATTTTAAAGTAATAGTATAAAGTAAATATATAAATATAAATATTGAATATACAAATTATAAAACATAAATATTCAACTTATAATTATAAAATTCATAACTTAATAACTTATAACTTATAAGTTATAAACTTATAAGTTATAACCTTATAAAACTTATAATTATAATTTTTTAACTTATATACATTATAAACTTATTAATTTATAATGTTGTCATAAAAAATAAAAATAAAAATTATTTGAAAACTGCACCAGCCCGCAGGCCGGCACGTGGCCGGCACGGCACGAGCCCGCCAGGCACGAGGGCCGTGCCGTGCCGTGGGCTGGCCTGTGAAAATGACCGGCACGGCACGGCACGAAATCCTGGGCCCGCCGGCACGACCGGCACGGCACGAACCAGCCCGTGGCCCGCCAGGCACGGCCCGCGGCGGCCCGGCACGACACGGTGCCCAGGATTGTTTCCGCATTAATTACTCCTTAATCAAGTACTAACTTGACCGTCGGAGGCGGATCTCCAATCATCCGGAGCATCCGTTTGTTTTGCAGGTACAGGCGTCCGGTTCCAGTCTCGGAATTGTAACTCTCCCGCAGGACATCAGAAAACCCCGAAACAATCATCATCAAAACATCGTTAGTAGTAAGATCGTAGCCATGATACTAAACGGATAAATAACGATCCTAGCATGTCACTAATAACAAAATCAAAGCGTTATCCTAAACATGATGCTAGAAATCATAATAACATCCTAAATATGATTTCTACTCCAAAATCAAAACAATAATAAGAAGGGTGATTAAATTACTCACTTTGATGCCTCAACCTTCTTGCTATTAAAACAATACACACGTTAGTAAACTTCAAGAAAGTTAAATCAATACAGTAAATAAATCAAATAAGAATTGAAATATAGATTTGGGACCAAACCCTCAGAACTATCAACCTTTCACGTTGAGGTCGAAAGAAACGTCGAGTATGGTTTGGAGTATTCGAATCACGCAAAGGAAGTATTGTGGATGATTTGGGGTGTTTAGGTTAAAGCGTTGGTTTAAGAATTCTCTCGAATTCTAGGGAATTGATGATGCTAATTGTAGCTAATTCTTGATGGTGGTGACTGATTTTGGCTAATTCAAGCTGATTTGAAAATGGGGAAACGATCTATATTTATAAGGAAAAAGTGAGTCGAGACGATAAAAAAAAGATCAGAAGTTCTGGACGAAATAGAACTTCACTGTCGCGAGACGATAGGATTATCGCGGCACGTAAGCCTCTGTCGCGGCGCAACAAGGCTGACGTGGAACGACATTCCTGTCGTTATGCGACAGTTTCTGAAGGTAACAAAGTTGTACGGAGTTTGATTTCTAATGGAATTATGTTTGTAAAAGATATCTGAACGTCTTTGTATTCGAATAGAACAAGGATTATCGTTTGAGAAGTTTTATTCAATCTCTAACTTCTTCGATCTTTATCTTTTCGGAAATGATAGATTAGAACCTTCTAAAGGATTCTAGAAGTTCCTAACTGATTTACGATTAGGAATATGATCATATAGGGCCTAAATAAAATATTTGGACTCTGTATAATCATTGGCTCGTAGCTAAGGATGGACCTAGGCTCGGTTTAGTATTTGGCCATAACTTATTCTTTTTAAGTCGGATTTGGGCATATAATATATCGTTGGAAAGCTCTTTTCAAGCCCCATCCATCCAAACAATAATTGGACTGAAAACAAGGACCAAAATAATCTGGTTTGGGCATTTTTATAATTTGGACACAAAATGAATGATTTTAGTTTTAAGGACACGAAATGAATGATTTTGGGTCTAAGGACACGAAATGAATGATTTTGGGTTAAAACATTTTAGGTAAGGTTAGGAATATGGTCAAGGCTTAAGGAAACTTTGCGAGACTCTTCAACTCTTTACCAAACTCATCAATCAAAACGTCAAAGGTATTCATCACTGGGTTTCGTTTTTGGGGAGACACAATCAAGTGTACTGTCTACAATACTATTAAATATATTTGTTAAATTTTTATGAATATTGTTGACACAATTATGCCCCTTAAATTAATATGTTGTAGAGGTGATCATTGGGCGGGGCGGGCCAAGGCCAAAAAAATCAGCCTATGCCTTGGGTCGGGCCAAACTTCAGGTCAAAAAGTTCGTGCCCGAACATGCCCAAAATGGTCGGGCCGGTCTGGCAAAAAAAAAAAATCAACTAAATTAATATTAAAACGTCTTCTCAAGCCCACCCAATTTTTTTGAAAAATCGAGGCCCGACCTGATTTTAGGCAGATAAAATCTGCCCATTATTGGGCGGGGGCCAGGCCACCTTTGATCAACTCTAATATGTTTACTCCATATTTACACATGCTAAAAATATTTATTTATGTATTTTCCTTATTAGTGCTGGCAACAATCAAAGTTATGTCATAAGACCAAGTTAAAAATGCTCCCCGGGACTAGCTACGGCACGCGCATTAGCTGCCATAGTTAAAAATAAACTCCATTTGTTCATTCGAGTAAACCCTTATTATTATGATTTGTTTACTAAAAGAATAATTTTATTGATTTATATGATAAGCAACCCCGCATTTTCATTGGAGCAACCCCATATCTTTCATGGTAACCCATCTTATCATCAGTATGACTGTATGACTCTATCACTTAATTAATTATCTTATAAGTGAAGTGACCACACTATGGCCAGCCAATAGCCATGTTCAAGCACATATAAGTTTTGTAAGAATTAGATATTTATGTTATTATTTTTTGGATTGGTGTCAATGTAAAGTTTCAAAATGTAATTTTCATAATTTTTGTATTATCAATTAATTAATATAAAAATTCATAGTAAATGTGGTGTATCAAAAAAATAAAAAGTGTATTTAAGTATAATATAAAGTATCTATTCAAAAAAAAAAATAATAAAGTACTCCTTCTGTCCCTTTATTACAGGACTATTTCCCTAAAAAGTACGGTTTTTAAGGAGAATGGAAAAAGTAAAGGAATATTGTATGGAAAAGATAAAAAAGTGAAGAATGTAGTATGGATAGAGTACAAGTAGAGAATATTGTATGGGAAAGTTAAAAAGTAAGTAATGCTTTTTTTTTTTAGTATGTGTGTATTTTGTATGAAAAAGAGAAAAAGTAAGTAATGATTTGTAAGTTATGTGTGTATTTTGTATGGAAAAGCTAAAATTAAGTAATAATTGTGTGTTATTTTTAGTAATAAGAGGAACATTTTGAGACACCCAAAATACTATATTAGTTTATAATAAAGGGATAGAGGGAGTATAATACAGAGTACTATGAAACCGGAACCTCCTACGTATCAACCCGGTCGATTTTGAAAACCAAGACACTTTGAGATTTTGCCGGTTGGGGCCTGAGGGGAATAATTTGCTTGTTTACATTTCATAGCTCATACTACTACTTCCTCACTCGAGAGACCTCCAACTCTTTAACTCCCCTATCAATGGCGTCGGAATCCATGGAAATCGCCATTTGAGCTCTTCAAACTCAACACCATCATCCTCACCATGGAAACCAGCAGAAGAGACAACAACAATGGCGGAGCTGTCGCCTCTTCGCCATCACCGCCGCTCCAAAAGCCTGCAAAGTTCGCCGTATATCAAAATCCAGCTCTTTCCGCCGCCCTTACTTCCACCAGTCTCCGCCCTTCCTCCTCCTATTTCTTTACTCTCTTCTTCATCTCCTCTGCTTCCGCCTTTGCTTTCTTCGCCTTCTCTTCTAGGTATTCTCCTCTTCTTCTCTCTCTTTTGCTTGTCAAATTTGATAGATTGTTGTTGTTCTTCCCTAATTATGGATTTCTAATGCTTTTGTGAGGTTTAATTAGGGTTTTGTTTGAATTTTCACAATTCTAATTGGGAATTTATTGCTTTTTTTTTTTTTTTTTTTTTTTTTTTTTTTTTTTTTTAAGGATAATTGCCTTTAGGGATTTTTTATTTGTGTTGTACTATTGCCTGTGCTTGGTTTCTCAATTTGGATGGGTTCCATTTGATTTTAGTTCAGGAATTTGAATGTCTTTGTTGAACGTGAATTTTCGAACAATTTTGATGGTTGTTCTAGAGTAGAGTTTATTGAAGCTAAAATTTCAGGGTTACTTTGGCATCATTTAAGTTTTTGATTGATTTTATTTGTACCACTATTTTAAATGTTTAATTGTTGATTGTTGATATGTTTGAGTAATTAGGATGAATTTTGTGGCTGTTTTTCAATGCACTTCTGGAATGTAGCAACCAAGCTATCCAAGAGAAAACTATCTGTTTCAGTTTATCCGATATCATGGTTACACTGTTTTGGCTGGAATCCTTTTTCCACAATCATGTCAAAACAATTTATGGGATCCTAAAAAATAAGGATAGAGAGAACTAAATATGTATTAAAGAATTTATGTGAAGTTTCTTTAAGTATGGAACTATGGAATGCATGAAACACGACTTAATGTAAAATTCCATCTTATAATTAAGATGGAGCATTAAGTTTTTTTTCTTTTGGTGGAACCTGAAGTAAAGGAATGGGGTAAGTTGGTGGTAGACAAATTTATGTAGTGAAGTTATCATCATTTGAAGCTTCTTTGGATGTATCAGTTGTTTTCCGGCGTGAAACTAAGCTTTAGGCCTTGTTCTATTAGTTGTTTTCAGGAAAAAAAAAAAAAATAGAGCTTTAGGCCTTGTTCTATTAAACTCCGCCAATGGGTTTCTCGCTGCCATACCCAAGCCTGGATAAAGGAGGACGGTTACAGTTGGCCAATGACAGTTAGTGTAAAATTTGTCACATCGCTTGACATGAGCCTCAATGATTGAGAGTAGTACTAGGAAGGGTGACCTCCTGGGATGTCCTCATGTTGGTTCATATAGCCAACCCCACTTATGGGATTAAGGCGTTCAAAAAGAAGAAGAAGAAGAAGAAGAAAAAGAAGGCCTTTTTCTTTTAGTTGTTTTTCAGAAAAAAAAAAATCAGTTCTAGATAGATAAAAAAATTTGTTTGATTTCTTTACTTGTCAATTCCCCCATGACAGCAGTGACATTAAATGACTCTGAGATGCTGTTTCTGTGACTGTTACCAATATATCAATTGCTATCACATGTTATATTCATATTTATCTATGGCTGTAAAGAATGAGTAAACATTTTTTGCCGGGCATAAAAATAGGAATGGTCTTGTTGGTAGAGGTTTGGCACATTATTTGATTGATTAAGCAGTTGGTTGATTCAAGATGCCTTATCCTCTGAAGCTGTGACATTGTTTTTCTGTTTTAATGGAAGTATCCCACTCCCCTAGAAAAAGGACACAGCACACTTGTACACCACCCCTTTGGGTGGGCGTGTACACACAGACACTGTTTGTCAGGTGCAAAGTACTCACAGGGCACTTACAAAATCTTGCCATGCATTAATATATATCGCCTTATCATAAGTGTTTAACTTGTTTAGCTGACACTTCCTTTTTTCTCTTTTGGTGGCCACTGAAGGGAACATAGGGTCATTGACAAATTTAAAGTCAGCAATGTTTCTGAAGAGATAGCTTGTAAGTCATATAAGAATTGCATGTTTTCTTTCAAATTGTGGCTGATATAAGGCATCCTGTATTGTGTTACAGACTTACAGTGTTAACTTTATATATTTATGCCTCAGATCTATTAATCAAGTTAGCGAAGATTGTGATGGGTTTAACTTTCATAGGAGCTTCTGCTGCCCTTGCCAAAGCTATTGCCTTTTCAACAGCTAAAGTTGGAGCTGGTGTTGTAGTCACATCTTCCTCTAATGGGACCAAGGTTGAAACTTGCCTTTCAGGTCATCAATTGCGGCTTTTAGGAGTAAAAAAATTGGATACGGCTGTACCAGAGCAGTCCAAAAAACCACCTGTGTCCAAACCACGAGCTGCTTTAGATCCACTCATCCCTCTTCACCAGTCATCGTTTAGCTCTAGTCGTTTATCTCGAGTTGGTTCTGAAAAGTCTAGCAGTACTGCTCTTAAAAGTAAAATTTTTGTTGTCCCTTCAAAGCAATCCAATTCTCCTACTCATGCTGTTTCTCCTTCCTCACCCCAGCTGTCATCAGCTAAGACTTCAACTGGTTTGGATCAGTTGGTTTCAACACCTTGGTCAAACAAGCGAGCTTCTCCCGCTAGAGAAATTTTAACTGAAGACGAACTTGAACACTTTCTAGCAGACGTGGACAAGAAAATCACTGAATCAGCCGAAAAACTGGCAACTCCTCCTCCTACTAGGAGTGGTTTCAGTATAAGCAGTCCTAGTACAATTTCTGGTTCAGCTAATACATCTGGAACAACGAGAACAACACCCTTGAGACCTGTTCGGATGTCACCCAGTTCACAGAAGTTTAATACTCCTCCGAAAAAAGGAGAGGCTGATATACCTACTCCTTTATCAATGGAAGAGATGACTGAAGCTTTTGAGCATCTAGGCATCTATCCGCAGATTGAGGGGTGGAGAGACCATCTGCGGCAATGGTTTTCTTCTGTTTTACTAACCCCTCTACTGAGTAAAATTGAAAATAGTCACAACAAGGTTTGTGCTCACTTGCTCACTCCTCAATGTACATATATTGCTGCTTTTATGAGATTTCCCTCCTGCAGAGATTGTATGCATCATGCCCGGTGTTCATGCGGTCTTGCTTTCAATTGTCTTTCTTGGGGGTACGTCTATGCCATTCAGTGTTAACAAAGCTACATTAAGTGTACTGCTCCAATTAACTTGACATTTCCTGATATTGGCAATATCTTCACATAAGAAATACCGTACTGATTTAATTATGAGTTTTTGCGAATATGTATAATGATGACATTCAAAAGGGCTATGTTGTCTATATGTGAGGCTTGTGGGTTTGAAAGCAATGTACTGTGGGTGGTCATTGAATTTTATGGAAAATCCAAGTTAATAGTTATGGATAAATATTTCCTTTCTAACGGATTGTAATAGTTGATTCATTTGGAGTTGTCTATGGTCTTAATTCTAACTTCACCAGTATTATTCATATGTTTAATTCTGATTTATTGTTCAATTTGGTCTAACAAGAATGGAATGTGCTGTGTTTGTAAACATGGACTTGAAATGAACTTGATGTTGGTGTCTCTGATTTGGCTTCTAATACAGCATCTGTTGTTTTTAGGTAATGCAAGCAGCTGCTAAATTAGGAATATCAATCACAGTGACTTCAGTAGGTAGTGATTCTTCTGGTGCTGAAGCTCCTAGGATGTCTCCGTTAGATCGTGCTAAGGAATGGCAGCCTGCATTTTCTACAGATGAAGATGGGCTTCTTCACCAGCTACGAGCTTACCTTGTGCAAGCTTTAGATTCATCTACTCGTGAGCACCCCTTCCCCAGATTTACCCTATATCGATCTTTATATTTCTTCGTATAAGTTGATGCTGGTGATTACAATTTTTGTTTTTGTTTTATTCTAACTTTCTTCAGAGAATGTGGGTACTGCCAATCAGCTACAAATCCCACAGCAGAATGCATTTCTTCCTACCATACAGGAGTGTGTGGATGCCATCACCGAGCACCAAAGGCTGCTTGCTTTGACAAAGGGAGAGTTAATCAAAGGTTTGCTACCGCAAAGTAGTGTTCCAGCTGAATATACAGTGCGAAGAATTAAGGGTACTTGTATATTTATCATCTAATATTTGTATGGATGCCCTTGCACAGATCATCTTAAATCATATGTTGAAGGAATCCAAACCTTAATTGTCAGTTTTTACTTGTTGGCAACAGTTTTAACTTGTTGGCATTTTTACAGAACTAGCTGAAGGAACTTGCTTGAGGAATTACGAGTACATGCGAAAAGAAGAGGCATCTGATAAAGCAAAGAAATGGACTATTGAGCTTCCATCTGACTCACATTTGCTGTTATATCTATTTTGTGCTTTCCTGGAGTATCCAAAATGGATGTTACATGTTGATCCATCATCCTATTCTGGAGCTCTGTCTAGCAAAAATCCTTTATTCCTGGGAGTTCTGCCTCCTAAAGAAAGGTTTCCAGAGAAGTATGTAGCTGTATTATCAGTTGTCCCCTCAATACTCCATCCTGGATCCTGTGTCCTAGTTATTGGAAGACAATGCCCTCCAGTATTTGTGATGTATTGGGATAAGAAGTTGCAGTTCTGTCTTCAGGTAATGTTTGCACTTTATATATGTCAGTTCAGTCTATATGGATCTGCTGGCTGATAGATGATCTGATTGGTTCTTCTCTTTTGCTTTTATGGTATTCTGAGATCCTGAGTCAAGGAACCTCTATGGGATTTGTAAGAGATAAGCCATTATATGTACCGTGTTTACTTGGTTGTTTTCTCCTATCAAAGCAATGCTGATTCGTATGGATCAGAGTCAGCTTGCTTGGCTGGTAGAATTTCCTAATTGCTTTATGTGCTCATTCTGCTTAAGGCTGCATATGTGTGTGTGGGAAGGATGTGTTCCTTGTGTAATTGATTCTTTTCTTTGATTGTCCTCGTGATTTTTTTGGCAGACTTAGGGTTCTTAATTCTTTTTGGTGTGGGGATGTTGGTCAAACTGATAGGTCGACAGAGATTTGTTCAGCAACGAATTTCAAGTTGATGCTTATCTCCAATTGCATAAGCTAATTAGTTACTCCCTCCGTATTTTATTACTTGCTCCATTTCTCCGGACACGGAGTTTAAGGAGGAATAGTAGAAAGTATTATTAATGATGGAAGTGGGGTTGGTTGAATAATAAAAAAAATGTGAAAAAGCAAAATTGAGTATAAGTGGGGAGGAGAGAGAATATGAAAAATATTAGAATATGATATGAAGGGACCACTAGCGGGGAGGAAAATAGTAAAATATTGTTAAAAGTTTCCAAAAAAGGAAACGAACCAAGTAATAAAATACGGCCACAAAAGGAAAGTGGAGCAAGTAATAAAATACGGAAGGAGTATACTGTAACAATGTAAGATGTGGACTACTTTAGCAACTAGCAAGAGCAAGTTCATGGAGGAGAGAAATAGTTGCCGTTTTTTTTTTTATATTGGGCCTTTTTAGGGTGAATAGAATAAAAAATGTACTTTCTCTGTTTTCTTTTACTTGCAACACAACTTTTAGGCTCGTAATTTTTAGGAGGTGATTATTGGAGGTAAACGAATGATTTTGTCAAAAAATTTTAGCACCAGGGAAGAGTTAGGTACCATGTGTTAAAATTATGTTGATTAATTTGTTCGTTTACAGTATATAATCTCGACCTCAAAGTGTGTGCCATAAGGTTGTGTTGTCTGTAAAAAAAATAGAGGAAGTAGTAATTAAGGCCTTCATTAGTTAAAATTTTAAACTTCCTTAACAATGTGTTAGATGAGAATACTTGAAGAAAAACAACAGGGAGGTTAATGGATCTAATTTCCCTGATTTCAATGTAAATCGTGGGAAGAGAAGGGAGAGACATGAAAGGGTCTTTTTTTTTTTTTAAAGAATTCAAATACTTCTAAATGGTTTGAAGAATTCGGAGGGAAAACAAGCTCACTTCTCCCTCCTCTTTCTTCCCTCCCCTTTCTTTCTCCTCCCTTTGTCTCCACCATATACAAATACTACAACATAATTTATATTGTTAATTCAAATTTAGTGTGTGTAGGGTATATTCCCTAATCCTTACACTTTATTTATAACACTTCTTGTAATGCATGTTCCATTTGTGTTTGTCTTCTGCTAAGTCTACTTTTTTGGACATTGAATATTGCACGTCTTAAAATTCTTTTATAAGTCTCAGCTTTAGTTTTTTATTACTTTCAGGGGAGAACCGCACTATGGGATTCTATCTTGCTTCTTTGTCACAGGATAAAGGTTGCGTATGGTGGGCTTGTTCGTGGTGTACATCTTGGCTCTACTGCACTAAACATCCTGCCACTTCTGGAATCAGAAGACGATGATTGAATTTTGTTACGGCCTTTGTTCAATACATTATGAAGCCCCTCTCCCTAATGTTTACATTGTTTTACATCTAACTGATGGAGTAGTTTAGGCATTGTAGTGAGAGTTGTTTTGAGCAGGCACTAGACTGCATGATTGTTGCTTTTGGGGCTATTCTTTGCCCTAGGCCACATTATTGTAAAACGACTGGTTTACATCTGACCTAGTTCATTAGGGGATCGTACTTTGGGCCTTCTAGTTAGTATGATAATTGCTAATTATTGTGATAAGATGATTATGGGGTTTACATCTGACCTATTTCTTTAGGGGACCGTACGTTGGGTCTTCTTGTTAGTAAGATAATTGCAAATATTGGTGTGATCATATGATTATGCTAATCTAGGTCTGTTTTGACTACCTTCTTTGCCCCTCCTCTCTTAGGAGCAGATTGTTGCTGTGATGGACGTAATTTTGCCTTTCTAGATATGTGTTTGAATAACAAAGGATTAATTGAATCTGGTCTTCTTTTTTTTTTTGTTTGACAGAATCTGGTCTTCTTCTCTGTATATATTTTCAGAGTTAGCTCGTGCAATGTGCGGTTTTTAATCTGACAATCCGACAATTTGTACTCTTATAGAATGGGTTTTATTCTCCTAAAAGGATAAATCTCTATTATTGTTAACTTGTGTTGCTCTATCATTTTTAACTATTTCCTTAATCAGTTACTCAATCATCTCATTTGTTAGTTTTGAATAGATGTTTATATGGTGCTAATTTTATTTACTTATGTGGCTCTAGAATGTTTATATGGTGCTCATTTAAGCCTTGTCATTCGAATTTTTTTAAGGATTTCATTTCAGTTTAGCTGCATTAATATAATCTAAGTTCTATTCATTTTGGTCCAACTATGCTGCGGACTACGGAGTAATTTTTTTAATGGTGAATCGAAGATAATTAAGAAAGTGGTCAATCTGTTAAGAGTTTTAGTATTCACCTTTGATTTCGATTGTTGTCAAGAAGCCCTACCATAATACCATTAGTTCCTCAAGGTTTTGTTCACATCAGCTTGATCTTGATTTTTAATGGCTGTTGTTTCGGGGTTTTTTGTCCCTCGGGAAAGTTATGTCACCAAGACTGATTTTTCGCCGGCTGTACTTGCAAAACAACGGAAGCTCCGGGTGTTTGGAGTTCCACCTCTGACGATCAAGTAGAAAGTGTTCTGAGTGATGAAAAAGTGCGGAAATAAAAGTAGATCTTCTCGGATTTCGAGATCAGGTGTTTTCTCTGTTTTCGAGAGAATTGATTGTGTAATAAAATGAATGTGTCCCCAAAATGGGGAAATCTCCCTATTTATAGGGTCGTTAGTAAATGTGCCCTTAGCTAGGTCAGAATGACGTTTGGTGGGCTGCGCTGTTTTTGCGGCTTCCTCGGGAATTAGGCCCTGAAGGCCGTCTTTTTCCCTGCTGATTGGGAGTGCCACATGTCAGTTGGGGATTGATTCTTGTTGAACCTCTCCTAAGGTGACACGTGTCACCCCCTGATTGGGCCATGTGGCCTGGGTATTTTGACCTAAAACATTTGCCCCTCACAGGGGTGACTTGGCGTGCCACTTGGCGCCTGTGACACTTGGCGCTCAGGCATTGGTGAATAGTTATAACTGTTTACCTTCTGGGGAAATTACAGGGATGTTGTTTGTTCCAAAGCAAAGAGCTCATCAATGAACAAATAAAACATACTTCACCCCAAAAATCAATTAAAACCAAGCATAATCAATTCAAGGCAAATCCAACAAATATGCATCAAAATCAACCAATCAAATCCATCCAACTACTCATCCTCCCTAATAGTTGTCAAGTAGAGCCAACCACAAGTGTATATGGATTTCAAAACTAGTGCTCACGCACTCTTCACTCTTTATGTGGCGGATATACGATGTATCTGATCGCTCTCCATCCAACCCCTTTAATGTGAACAATGCTCTCCCAAACTCACAACACTTGTGTGTTTAAGAGAACAAGCACTCAACCTAGTAGTCGACTCGGAATATATCAATCATTCTTTGCATTGATAAACAACTCATTTCACATCCATACAATCTATGCACAAAGGTCGGAAGGTCTTTAAAGCTTATAACGTAAGGTTAGGGTAAAAGGTAGGATAAATTTGGGAAAATGTGAAGTAAAGCCATGCTTTAGGGAGCCAATCCTAATAAACCACGGTCAAAAATAAATAATGACCATAAATCTCCAACATAACTCAACACTACAAAAATTCACCAAACAACCAATCCAATATTTCACAAATTTTTCAACACTTACAATTTTACTCATATAAATATAATAATGTAGAATTTGAGTGAATCGAACAAACCTTGAAGTCTTTCTTTTCAACTTGAATTTTTCTTGAGCAACGTTCAATTAGAGCACTTGAACACTAAACAATTTTTTTTATTTTGCTCTTTTTTTTCTTGATTTTTTTTTTTTCATATCATCATGCTTTATTTTTTCTCAAGAAAATTCAACTTTCAAAATCATCAAAAATAAACTACAATAAAGAACAACACAACTTCTCAACTACCCAAATTGTATAAATGATAAGCATACTACAAACTCCCTCACCTCTCACTCACTAATAGCTCCCCCAAGCCAAGCTTGAGACTAGTAACCAATGGGGCAAAATCGGCTTGTAATGTGGCTAATAAATAAAAAGTCAAGGCAACAACATGGGTAGCAAGAAGGGAACAAATGTATCTAATATCGTCTGAAGGCTACCTAAGAGAACAAATGCCTTCGTCCTCCTCAATGTGGATAATAATGAATCATACAAACATTACTCAAAGTTAAAAACCAAAACTCAACTTCAATGACATACCAGGAATTAACACACATTCCTCACCAAATCTAGTCAAGCACCAAATCCACAAATAGTTAGACAAAATTGACTCATGTTAGGGCATCCAAGCAATCAAACATCAAATCGTGGCTGACCAATCCACAATACTCATCATCATATACCAAGAATCAAAACAATTTTCAAGTATAGAGCATAGGGAAGCATGATTTATCATTCATTGGATCGTATTTTTGTATTTTTTTAATTTTTTTTTTAAAAAAAGCATTAGATCTAATATAAGAAAGCAATAAAAACTATACTAAGAAAGCAAAACAAACTAAATTAAGCACACAAAAGAAATAAAAATAAAAGCGAAAGAAAGAGTACCTATATATACAAGAAATCCCCCCCAAGCTAAATCAGACAATGTCCTCATTGGCTTAAAGGGAAGGTAGTAATCCAAGTGACTACCCCTCATCATCAAACTCGTAGCCACCACCATCCCAAGCATCACAATTCATCACTTTGGTACAATTTTGAGCAAGAAAGAAACAAAATGTTAGTAGGAAAAGAAGCAAAAACGAGTCAGGTTCACTATTTTGATCATAATTTTTTTTATATAAATGATAATACAGTGATTCTAATTGCATTGGAAAGTAGACTTGAAAATCTTTCCAACTATAGGTCACACGCAAAATTTCGTTAAGGAACGCAAAAGTTATGGCGTTTTGAAGTTGACCAGTTTTGCTATCGCGCTCCGCGCCCGACCGGGCGAGCTTAGCCCGACCGGGCCCGCCTTCAAGGTCCGAACTGGCGGTTCTTCGCTGCTGCTTGCACGAGACTCCTTTTTGGCCTTAATTTGCTTCGGTTTTTCACTTGATTGAGCAAATGTCACTTGATCAAGTGGGACTTTCATTACGGGCTCGATTTTCGTAACTTGCTCATTTTTCTCCACTTGTTCATCTTCAAACCCAAGGCCTACACAGTTTAGAGCTCTTTCTATAGCATCCACTTCATCTTTCCATGTAGTATTTTTTCCTGCGGAAGATGCAACACGAAATACCGGCTCCAAGGGATCTCTAACAAGAGCTTGGGGCTTATTAGAAAAATTATTTACATCGATCACACCAATACTAAAGCACTTTTCTTCTAACATGGGGCTTTTAGGGACATTATTTAGATTAAAAGTAATATTATCATCCCCTACACATAATGTAAGTTTACCAATTTTCACATCTATTATTGCAACAACAAAATCAACAGGTATATAAAATTTACCTACTCAAACAGGAACATCCTCTAAAATACCTAAAGGGTATTTAACAGAACGATCGGCTATTTGCAGAGTAATATTGGTAGTTTTTAATTTACCCATATTTAATTTAGAGCTTACATATAATGGCATAACACTTACACTAGCACCCAAATCACATAAAATTTATCAATCATCAGATTACCAATATGACAAGGAATAGAAAAACTACCCGGATCTTTTAGTTTAGGTGGAGATTTATTCTGTAATATAGAACTACATTCTGCAGTAAAAGCAACCGTCTCTATCTCACTAATAGATCTTTTTCTAGTCAAAATTTCTTTCATAAATTTAGAATATGCAGGAACTTGAGTAATTAATTCTGTGAAAAGAACCGTTACCTGCAAATTTTTGACAACCTCCAAAAACTTACCAAACTGCTTATCTAACTTACTCTTAAGATGTCTATTTGGAATGGAAGTTTGATAGCAGGATTCTGCACATCTCTGCTCATATCTTGATTTTTACCCTGCAATTTATTATTAGAAGAGTAAGTTTTACTCTGGGGCCCTGTAGGGCTAGTAACAACGATATTTGGTATAACAGAATCAGGATTAGCAGTATTTGTAATGATAGGTTCATCATCTTTGGGCATAGAAGGCCCATCGTATATTGAACCACTTCTCAGGGTAATTGCATTCACGTGATCTGTAGGTTGTACTGGCTGTGCTGGCAGGGCTCCCTGCTGGAGAGTTTGTAGAGTAGAGGATATCTGCGCGATTTGATTATCTATAATTTTATTATGAGCTAGCATCGAATCAATTTGCGCATTCCTACTATGCATGTGCTTCTGCATATTGTCTAACATAGTTTTGATTTCTTATAGGCCAGAATCAGAAGGAGGAGTAACAACCTGTTGTGGTCTCTGATGTGGAGGTTGGTAGTACCTTTGTTGTGGTTGTTGTACCTATGGTGGAGGGTTAAGAACATTCGTACTATTGTACGACATATTTTGGTTATTTTTCAACCCTGCATTGTAGGTGTTAGAGTATGGAATAATTTGCTTATAGGTCTGAAAAGCATTAATCTTCTCAAGTGAAATCCTACATTCCTACACCCAATGACCTATAAGACCACAATTTTCACAAATTATTGCAGAGTTAGTCCCAATAGCAGAAATATTAGCAACGGAAGATGAATTAGAATTATTAATATTGTCTAGTTTATGGCTAATAGAAGTTAATTGTGCTTGCAAAAAGGATATAGAATTGACTTGGTGTTTTCCCTTATTTGCAAATCCTCTAAGATTCCCATATTGGGAATTATGAATAGCCATCTCTTCGACAACATTGCTCGCTATATTCTCATCAAAATTCATAAATCTTCCGTTAGCTGCAGAGTCCAAAATCATTCTTAAATTATATCCAAGCC